GCCATATAAAGTCGACTTAATGCTTCACAGAGAAAAGCCAATCTGAGACAATTCTGCCTGCTTTCTAATTCTATAAACTGCAAAATTTTTAGGAATTTTACCACAGTGAATACTCACTGGCTCAGGCACCAATAAAAATAATGTCTAACACAAGCCTGCTCAGGGACTGAAAACTGGGTGCAGCCCTTTCCAAATCAGATGTAGTCCCATTTGACAATACCCATTCTCTGCCAAAGGCTAAGGAAAAGGAAGGAAAGAAGAGTAGGTCAGGCATTTCCCTCACATTCTCTACAACAGAAAACTTTTTCATAAAGGCCCAGGATCTCCTAAATGTAAGCTTTGTCTGAAACTAGACGAGCAGTTTCATGTAAGGACAGCAAGAAGGGGATGGAGACAGTATTTGGAAAACTAGTGCCCAAAGACAGACAAGATGGTAAAACAAAACAGAATACTTTAAAACTCTGGAATATATATTGCCTATTTATTCCCAAAGTATACAGGTGGTGTTATGAACACACAAACACAATTTGGTTTTATAAAACATACAATGTCATACAGCTATCTTACTAGAACTATGTAACATGAAAATCTTTCCACATCAGCACATATAAACACATTGTCATTATGGAGTCTTGTCATTCGTAAAGACTGTGTAGATATAACCTGGTGACGGGGCACCTGCCTGTACATTTATAATCCCAGCACTCTGGTGTGCCAAGGCAGGAACACAAATTTGACCCCCAGCTGCACAATTTAGTGAGACTCCCCAATCCAAAATAAAAAATGACTAAAGGACTGCGTTATAGCTCGCGTGAAGATGAAGATTCTGGGTACAATCCCCAATAAAAGACACACAGAGAAAGAGACTGACAGGCAGGCAGGCAAGTAGAGGCAGACAACAATCCAGCATGACTTCAATGAAAAAATTTTAGTTCTGCGTTTTTATTTTACAGTACATACCAAAAATAACATCAAAATTTTACAAATATTAAATTAGCCCCATTCTATGGAGCTAATTATTAGCTATGTATGTACAAACACACAGTTATCAGAAAATCATGCATTAACCTGACATGTGCAAATAAGATTTATTATCAAAGGCCATGAAAATATCATCAGCATGGTGCTGAAATGATGAATTTCAACAGATATCCTTGACAGTTACCAGTTATTACGTAGAATACTAAAGACAAAATCAGTAAACACTCTGGAGTTTGAGGTACAAGGATCAAGAGTTAAGTCTGAGCCCTGCCAGATCAACTAGCTGCTAAAGAGACCCCACCTCAATATAAAACAGTGAGGAGGCTGGGGTTATAACTCAGTACTACCGCCCTGGCTTAACTGCAGTACTGAAAAAACATTCAGTAACAAAAATGAAAATGAGTAATAGTTACTTGTACCTCTTAGCTTAATAACATGTCCATAAAGTACCAGAATTCAAAAGAACAGAAACATGGATAGAAAAAGTGCTATCTCCCAATCCTCAGGGCACTCAAACAGCTGTGAAAGCAGAAACAAACCAACCAAAGAATGAACGCTTGTGGGCACTCATATACTGCACACACTCGCAAAAACTGACTTATCAGAACCTTAACTTTATACAGGGGTGGAATAAAAGGTCAGGCTCCAGGACTGTGGACAGCATTGGTTCAGCGGATAGGTAAATCAGGTTTCCTGCGCCCATAATAACGAAAGTGAGAAATGGGGTAAATAAGCTCTGTACCTTTTTATCTAAGAGAATACTACAAACTCTTCCAACCTAGCACTTCACACTCTGACTCTTAGCCATCTTTGAGTTCTACCACATCAATCTACACTTTCGTTTTACCTTCTTATAAATCTCCAATGGTTCATCACTTCCTGGAACACCAACACACACACACACAACTTTAGTTCCTCTAGTTCAGTGGTATAGCGCTAAGGATAAGAGTATGATGGTCACCTCAAGTAGAGGCTCAAGTAAAATTTCAGGAGTGAATGAATGAATGGCTTCAAGTGCTTCCCAACCGTACTGCTTTTACTACAACTCATCTCCGTGCCTTTATACATTTCAGATAAGGGTGTTTTTCAGTTTCCTTACCATGACCTACAAATACTATCTCTGGAGCATCTCCCACTACTCACCCCACATGCCAGCGAGTTTTCAGTAACCTTTTTCCTTAGAAGCTTTGCATTAGTTCCTCTTGACCAAAAAAAAAAAAAAAAAAAAAAAAAAAAATGTATTTTGTCAGACCATCAAGTACCTAGCTCTCCTAGTTCTCCTGGATCTTCATTCAGTCTTCCAGTAAGGCTTTCCATGGTCATCTTCTGTAAAGTTTTAACTTTTCCCCTGCCCCTAGGCATTTCATGTCCTCTCTCTTTCCTGCCTTGTTTTTTTCTCCCTAGCAGTATGAAATTTTATGCTCAACTTTTCCTAGAATCCTTACCTTTTCGAGCAGTACTAGCAAGTACCCAGTAAGTAACTGTCAAAGCTTTGAAATGTCCTAGGTCAGCAGACAGCCTTTTAGAGCTCTCAATAAAACGAACAGCCCCTGCTGCAAACATGCCACAAGTCCACGACCATTAACCCAGGACATCTGAATTTTTTTTCATTGCTTTATTTTTGCAGGACTTGCGATTAAACCCAGGGCCTCACGCATGCTCAACAAATACTACACTGAATTACATCCCTAGCACTTTTTATTTTGAGACAGGGTCCCAAACGCATGTTATCCCATACTTATTTTTTTCTTCCCAAAATTCTCTATGTTCTATAAAAGCTCAAATTCCCTCATACCAATTTACTATAATATAGGTCTTATATAAGACTTTTTCTCCTTTGTAAAAGCAAGAACTTCTTTAAAATGTATTCTTCAATCAGTTCAACGATCTATGTTAATGTAGTAATAAAAAGACCATAAATGTGGGAAGGGATTGCTAGATTCTCACTGAAGTTATTTCTGCCACTACTGACTACAAAAGAAGAGTAAATGGGATTAGAGAATATCATTACTTGAATGAGAAGATTTTATTGTACTGGTTTCACTTTAAAAAAAAACCATAAAGGGATATACATCTGCTAAGTAAACCATACTGATCCTGAAATAATTGCTAAATATGAATAAAATTTAAAGATAATCTCAAAATGAAATGTCAAACAAAAGCTTTCAAACTTACATTTGGCTTTCAAAGACAAGAGGCAATGCAGTTTAGGGTGTAGCTCAGTGATAAAGCGCTTGCCTAGCATTTGCAAGACCCCGGATTCCACCACAAGCGCCTGAAATCAAACAAAACCAAGGTCTTGTGTCCTCTGCTCTTTTGTCAATCTGCTATATATTCTTTTTTTTGAGCGGTGAAAGGCACCTGAACTCTCTTGTGCACTGAACCCAGGTTTTGCAGGGCCACAACCCAAGCCCTGCTTTGCTTTATTTTGAGAGAGTCCTGCTCCAACTCAAGTTCTGCCTGACTCAGTCTCCCAGAGTGCTGAGATTACATCGCACTTGCTATGCCCTGGGTCCTGGAGTCTCTTAGCAAAGGCTAGACAAACTTTTCCATGGAACCAAGAGTACTGCTTTATTGTTTTCACCAACATCCAGAAACAGAAATAGGATTAGGCTCATAAATATCACAATTTGATTAACACAAAACATTCAAAAGCGATAATAAAATTACTCTTAAAATGTGGCCTAAATCCATATTCAATTTCTTTCAACAGAAACTTTTCATGGTTAACACTGTGTGCTAGAAGCATTCATCACATAACTCTACGACTTGAATAAAATTGTAAAAACAAACAAACAAAAAAAAACCCAAAATGGCACAGAGAAAATATGTTCATATATTCTGTTATAACACTAAATCCAAAAAAGAAAAAAAAAATTCTCACGCCCACAACAATGGTCCACTTATACATCAAGCTAAAAACCAAAATCACCCACTCCCTTCAGAAGATTGCACCTCACAGCAATATGCGACCCAAAGTGGAAGATACCACTTTGTGTCATTTATGAAAGTACAACATTCTTGATCAAACACACACATTCAAGAATCTTCTAATAGCTAGCTTTCCAAACCTTTAAATGATGAAATCTCTATCAACACAAAAACTTAAATAAACCACACACACACAAAGTCTGTCTGTCTGTCTCTCTCTCTCTCTCTCAGGTTAGTAAAATACGTATATAGTATTTTGCTCGCCGACTTGAAAGCATTCCCATGTAGTTGAATGTATCGCAGTGACTCTACCAGCGGTGAGCAACACATAAGTATTTCTTGACACCCAGGCCTATACCACTTAATGGTATGATCACACTTTAAGGAGTCATGACGTTTTGAAAAGCCTAGATTACAAAACCATAAACAGAACAGTCGTAGCCCATTCTCCAGGTGGTGTTATAAACTATAGACACTCAACTCTGAAGCTATCATTTCGCCTGGTGGTTAATGTATTTTTGTTCCCACCAAGGAAGTTGTGAAATCCACATGCACACCCTATCCCAAATCTATCAGTGGGGCAGGCAGAGGCTGAGTCATCCCTAGGAGTAACTTTACACCGATCCTCACACTCCGGGGTCGGGACAAAGACAACCTCGCTAGATTCCTCCCACTCTGCATTCGGATCAGCCTCAGCCCAACCCTACTCTCCAGGTTTCTGGAGCCGGCACACCACAGGGCAGCGCCCTGGCAAGTAACGACGCGTCCCTGTGGGTTCGGGCGATGCTCGCCTGGGGTCGCTCCCGCGATCCCACTAGGAGCAGACCTGCTCCAAGACGGACCAGGAAGCCCTGCCGAGGAAGCAGCAGGCAAACCCATTCCTCCAGCGGTCCAGTGGGGCATCAGAACGAGCTGCTTTTGTCTCCGCAGGGGCTGACATGCCGCGGAGCAACACCTGCCGGGGCCGGATGCGCGAGGCCGGCAGGCGAACGCCGCGCCCGGGTCGGGACTCGCGCTCCTGGGCCACCGCTCGGGGCGGCCGTGGTGCCCAGATGGGGGAAGGGGTCGCGGGCGGTGGCAACGCTTACCCAGCAGCGTCTCCTCCTCCGCCGGCGGCAGCAGCACAGCCGGCGGCCCCCGGCACCATCTTCTGCCGCCGCCTAGCCTTCGGCGGCGGCTACCAACCGCCCATTCGGCACGCAACCGACACAACTGCCGGCGCCTGGGAGCCTGAGCTCCGGCTGCGGCCCCAACACCAGGTGGAAGGGAGGGGTCGGGGCGGTGGACCCTGTCAGGCCCCTCGGCTCTTGATAAGGGGCCGGGAGTCAGGGGGCCGTGGCCGGTCAGAGCCGAGGGGCCGGGGCAACTGAGGGTCCCCTAGGCAGCACAGAGGGCTCGGCAGGGCCGCGGACACGATCGCGGCTGGGTTTGTTATTGTCGACTCCGTCCCTTCCTCCGAGGAGCATGTCGGGAAACGGCCGGCCGTGGGGGGAGGGGCACGCTGGGATCCCCGGCGGCGCGGAGAGGCGTCTGCGCAGGTCCGGAAGTCTGCGGCTCGCCGGAAAGGGGGCGTCCCCGCCTCCGGTTACGATGGGCCTGGGTGTCCTCCTCTGACCCCGGGAAGATTTTGCTGGGCTTGCCTCTTGCGTGCTAGTTGCTATCTGGACTTGTGCAAGGTGAGCTTGACCTTTCTCGGTGCAGCGAGTAAGCCCAGGCTGCGCAGACCCTGCAGAGTTGTAATCAGCCCCAGGGGGAATAAAAACTCAGTCCTTTCAGCATATCACGGAAGATTGGACCTGCCGGTGCCCTGATCGCTGGTCCCCAGGCGGCCCGCGGACCTGACCGGGTCCGGGAGAGCACACCGAGCACACAGTGCCTGGAGGGCGGGGCCAGTTTCCACACTCCTGCCATCAGGTCGGGCCAGAGATGGCAGGCAGCTGGGCAAGGGTCACTGCTATCTTTGCAAGGGTGGGACAGCACAGTTTGGGTCAGAGCGGGTAAGGCAAAGAAGGTATTCAAGAGGAGAGCGCTTCGGCTGGGCTGACAGGACCGAAACCGTAAATGCCACAAACATTAGCTCTCAGTGTACATAAAAGTCCGGAGTTTTGGTTTGGTTTGGTTTGGGGTTTTTTTGCGGATTAGTGGTTAAGATGACTGTCATTAGATGGAAGACAAATTTCAGAGGAATCCTGCATTTGTGAACATTATCAGTCTCGGGTGATTTCACTAATATCTGACGAGCAGGTGTTGAACGTAGAATAATTATATAGTTTTGTTTTTTGTTTTATCTTTTTGAGACATGGTCTTGCCATGCAGTTCAAGCTGGCCTTGCCCAAACTAGTCTCGAATTTGCAGGGAATCTTCCTGCCTTAGCCACCCCAGGGCTAGGATTACAGGTGTGTGCCCCCCATTCCCGGCTTATAGAGTACTTTTCAAATCTCAGTTATATCTAAGAATATCTGGTGTAAATAAAAAGTTGAAGGTTGCGACTTAAGTTCTCAGGACTTTTGAGTTGTTTGCAAAACTGAGCAGCAAAAGAGGGCACCAAACAGAACCAAGTTTGTAATCCTTGCTTTGTTATGGCAGAGACCGATAAACATTAGTAAGCACTCGTGATTTTCAGTTACTGTCACTTCCCTGTATCTGAAAGCTGAGAGACCAGCTTGCTGTTTTTTTTTTTTACCACTTTTTAAAATTTTGCGCTTACATTATCACAGAGAACCTTACCCTATCATCTCTTGACATGTCATTTAACTTTTTTATTAAGCTGAAATTTTATAACTAGCCCAGCAGAGTGGAGAAGGAAAATTAAAATTAAGCACTAATTTGTTATTATGCCTTAGGAGACAGTAGGAAATGGCACAGTGAAGAGCTTGATTTGGCACAGTAATCGCCACACAGAAAATAAGTGGAAAAAGGTGTTGATCCAGAAAATGTAGTGTAGAAAACAGTATGGAATATCTAAAGAACATGTTGGAGCCTGTGTTTCACTTAGTTATCAATGGCATTCCAATTTAGAATGCAAAAGCTCGTATGTCCATGACAATCTTCTAAATAATAAAATACTCTTCTTGTCTCTGACTTTAGAAAACTGACTCAGTTCTGATCATTAATCATAGGCTGAAGGAATTAGCAGAAATGACTTGATCCATACCTTATAGGTTACTTCTTTAATGTAGATCTTTATAGAGTTCGTATCCATCTCTAAAATGCCTATAGATAAGTGAAAATGTGTTAACATTAATTCTATTATATATGTACAAGAATCTAGGGGAAATACAATTTATTACTAATTTATATGTATATTAATGTCTCCTATCATAAGGGAAAGGAAGTGGATTTCTTTAGGAGTATGGAGGGATTACACTTACTTAAAAATACCCTAAGTATGGGGCTGGGGATTTAGCTCAGCGGCATAAGCGCCTGCCTTACAAGCAGGCAGTCGTGAGTTCGATCCCTGGTACCGATAAAAACAAAAAAGACAAAAAAAATACCCTAAGTACTTCGTATCAGTTCCAATTTCGGAAATCCTAATTTTTTCCCTAAGGTATCAAGTCTAGGGTCATCTTCTCAGTCTTTCCCTGACATCCTGTAATTCCCCAGGCCAGTACCGGGAAACCTTTTAGAGCTTTCCATAATAATAAACAGCTCACTGTGGCCTTCATGCCATAGGTTGGACACTGCTGTCCTATACTTTCACCTTTTATCTTTTGGTTTTTCATCTAACATGGTGACTGTAAATCCCTCTTTACATGATGAACTGTTTGCCCAGTACCTGGTGTACCCTAACATGTACTCGATAAACATTTATTAGAGTGCCTTAAACTGATACCTGGACTGACCCTTGTTAGTCTCCATTATATACTCCAAGACTAGCTTAGTATCATTTCTCTTCCCAACAACCTTTACTGGTTTTTTGTTTGTTTGTTTTTGTATTTTAGATACAATTTAAACATTTTAACAGCACCAAAAGCTCTGAAGGTTAGGTTTCAATCGGTCTCTTCTAATTGTGTATGCACTGGTGCATTTCTTCTGTGATACATCATGTAAGTTTGCCCATGTGAGAATCACCCTGCCACACTGGAGATTAAATTCAGGGATGCTCAGATGACTGAGCTAAATCCCAGCCCTGTTTTTGTTTTGGGACAGGGTCTGAAGCTCCTCAGGCTGGGTCAAACTTAAAATCCTCTTGCTTCAGCTTCCCTGGGAACTGGTGTCATAGCTGTATGCCACTATGCCTGGTACTTACTCAGCCTTTTGCATATCATTTAGCTGCTTCTAGCTTCTAGACAATCTAGCAGTCACCAGCCCTTCTACAGCTCCATGTCACACAACTGTAATTTTGTTTTATTTTGTTCTGAGGTACTGGGGATTGAATCCGGGAACTTCCTATTGAGCTACATCCCCAACTCTTTTTGCATTTTTAAGATGTGATCTTGCTCAGTTGCTCAGCTGGGTTTGAACTTGCCTATCTCCTACCTCAGCCTCCCAGAGTACTGGAATAGAACAGGCATGAGCCATCAGCCTGGCTACAATGTAGCCTTTTATCTCCCCTCTAAAAAGGTCTATGAAATTTTAGAGCTGCAACTCTAGGAATTGGGGCTGTGGCTTAGTGGTAGAGTATTTTCCTGGAATGTAATGAGTTAAATCCCCAGCACTATAAAAATGTTAAAAAGAAAATTATGCATTATTAATTTATAAATTCCTAGAACTTTACAGCTAAGTTGGCACAGTCAATGATTAATAAATTACTGTTGACTGCAGTAAATTCTGGAAATAACTTACACTGAAGCTTGATTGTTTCTATGGAAAATTCCTGCCCTGAGATATCTCAAAGACTAGTAGAGGACTGTTTAGCAAAATGGCAAAAGTCTACATGGCATTAATTGTCCACCAAAATATATTTAGGATGTGGGAAAAATGATGGTATACACCTTGTTCCAATTCTACCTGATTAGGGATTTCTTTCAGCACATGCAGTAGATATTTCTCAGATAAATTGGTGTCAGACCCTAATTTTTTTTTTTTAGGTTATTTCCAGACAACCAGCAGCCACCATTTATGTAATTTATCTATTCAAAAGTATGGATCACATTTTACTGTCTACCTTTAAAGGGATTAAAAAGATGTATTGGTTAGGACTTTATTTTTAAGATAGTAACTAATTTGGTATACACGATCTGTACTATTTGGAGTGCCGTGGACACCGTGATTAAGTTAATGTTTTCAGGACTGTTTACAGGTTTTACAGCTGCCCCTCCGCTGGTCTGTCTGTGCTCACATTTATTATTAAAGATAATGATAATGGTTAACTTATGAATGCCTATCTTCAAAGCTAGCGATGAATTTCAAGAGCTGCTGAGCAAGACTTTCTACATAACAGAACACATGAATGCTTAATTTTTAGAAAGATTTAACTCTAAAAATTGAAACTAAATATTTGTAGTTATTTTTTAACATTGAAAGAAGCTATATCTCTTTAGTATGATATTTTATTGTCTTGTTTTGATGTTTCTTAGCAGAATGTTCAAAAGTAAAGTTGTCACTGTTCCTGGAAAACTTGATCCAAACACCAATCTTAAAATTACAGCTGTCAGGGGCTGGGGATTTAGTTCAGCAGTGTAAACACTTGCCTGGCAAGCACAAGGTCATGAGTTCAATTCCTGGTACAAAAAAAATACAGCTGTCAGTTACCTTGTGCTCTGGGCGAATAATTGGGGGATGACAATATGCAACATATGTACCATTGTTGCACCCCGATTGATATGTTTTGAAATTGTTTTCTATTTTTCTTTTTTTCTCTTTAAAGTAAAATGGATTTGAAAAAATAATAATAAAATACAGCTGTCATAACACAGCAAAATATGCACACTCATTGTATAGTGGCAGTTTTTAATAGCTAAGTCTTGGAAACAGCCCAGATGCCCATCAACTGATGAATGGATAAAGATGTGGGATTTTTTTTATTCATTGGAGCACTACTCAGCCATGAAGGATAAACTTGAAACCTGTCTAGTTAAATGGATGTACCTTGAAGTCATACTCTTAAATGAAATAAATCAGACACACATACAATACTTCATTGTCTTTCTGGTGTGAGAAACCAAAAATGTAAATAAGGACCAAAATGTATAATTGATGTTGTAAAATAAGAAAATGTTCAAATGGAAAGGGGATCTGGTGGGGGGAGGAAAACAAAGGAAGGGAAGAGAAAAAAATGATGAGAAAAGGAAAAAATGGAAACAAAGCTTTATAAATAAGGAGGGGAAGAAGGTTTGAAGGGAAAGTAGGGGAATAGAAAAAAGTTGTATCGTACAGAAACAAATTCCCTCTAGTGAATATGATCATTTTGTATACCTAAAATATATCAGTAAACTTAAAAAAAAATACAGATGTCAAACAGACTTAAATATCGCATAGTTGGACCTCAATTTTTTATTTGTTTTTTATTTTGAGAAGGGTCTCCCTGTGTAGTCCTGGCTGGCCC